AGATGACCAGATGCTATGTTGTCCGCATTGGCCTTTGCCATAAGAGCCAGGACATTGTCATCGGCAGTCAACTGCACAGAGTTAGTGACATATGACCAGTATAGACAGGCAAAAGTGCAGGCTTGTGCGGTAGGGCTTTGTGGAGGTAGGTACTTACTAAAAGTGCAGCTGTAAGCTGGTCGATGTTCTCAGACCGACTCTGCTTGAGACCCAAGAGGTTCAGAGACGCTTGCATCTCGTTTACTTTGCGGTCATAAGCAGAGCCAGCAAGCACACCGCCTGAGTCGCTCGTAGGTAGGCCTGCATACGGCATCCATCGCGTCTCATCGTGGCGAGGGCCATATCCGGCACCGCGGTGTCTTAACCTTAAAACCCCCCAGAGTGTTAGCAAGGCAAAAATACATTGTATAGTTTGAGAAGTGAGCCGGTACTTACTGCTCGATAAAGTCAAGGACAACCCCCTTGGCCTGTAGCCTGTACGTCTTGCCAAAGGAGTCGGGGTCGCGCCAGCCTGATTTCTCAGGCTCCTCAGGCTCATCGCCCCAATCAAGTTCGATGTGGCCGTTGTTATTGTTGCCGCGGCTGAAGACAGGCGAAATGGCCTGACCGCCTTTTAGTTTACGGAAGCGATGCGCTGGCGCCAGAGGAGGCACGTCTCCCAACACATCATCAACATGTGCTGGGCATCGCCAAGTCTTCAGGACAGGTGGCATAGCCAATGGTGGATCGAGACAGTCAATGTGCCAATGAAAGGGACAGGTGTTGCAAGGGATTATTGCTCGAATCTCAGTGGCTGGCTTCTGGCACGCGTGGCAGATGACCGCCTCGCCATCTTCCCTTTGTTTAAAGAAGTCTGGCAGCTCATCGTAGCCAGCACGCTTCCTAAGAGGAGAGATTGTGTCAGTCGTCCACAGGGTAAAAGGAAGTGAGGCTGCGGCTTGAAGTCGCGGCACTCAGCCCAGAGGTCAAGTGACGTTAAGACTAGGCAGCGAACCAGAGCGAAAAGACTTACTTTGTTCTGTTAGTCGTCACTTCTTCGTAGTCGCCATCAGCCCCAGCCTTGACACCCTCAAAACGAGTCTGTGTCTTTTTGGGGAGGCTAAAGGCCCGGGGAATGCTCTTCTCCAAAGCGATGAGAGCGCTCGCAAAGACGCCTTTATAGACGGGCACGCGAGAGGGATAGCGCCGGAAGCTGCATTCATTGCAATACCATTCGTCTGGTAGATGGTCAGACTGCACCATGTCCACGCACTCAAAGTGGAACGAGCGCGGGCAGCCATCACAGCAGACGACATCGCCGGTGTTACCACATGCAGAGCAGTATTCATCGTTGTCGGAGCCCTAGGATGCCCACACTTGTCAGCACAGTTTCCCCCATCGTCGTATTACACGTTGCATCATCCCCCAAATCTAGGCAGCGTGCGCGGACCAAAACCGCAGCCACTAAAATGTGCGTGGTTGGAGATCCTTGCCCCCCTCCTTGCTGTGGCACCCAGGTCAAGATAACCATACAGCGGCTTTTGATCCGAAACAAGGGAGGGAACGACAGTGCGAGAAAAAAATGATGCGTGCAGCAGGCAAAAGCAGACGAAAACCCATGCCTCTTTCGAGACTGTTTGATTCCCACGGCCAAGGTCGAGCACAAGATCGTAGATTTGCATCACCTAACGAGGGCTCTTCCTGTCCACAAAAACACAAAAAGACTTGAAAAATACAAAATCACATACCTGATCTCTTGGCGCACCATTGCTGGTTGTTGCTGACGGTGTCTCGCCGGTTGAGCGAGGAACGCCGGCAGCAGTACCGCCCTTCTTCTTCATTGGCCTGTGATGAAATTTTTTTTAGTAAAGGTGATTTGGTAGTAGTGGGTTTGAAAAGGGTCTCAAAGATGGTGAAATGATGATGAGAGCGATGAAGAGTTATCCTTCGCAATGAAGCATGATAGTTGAAGAAGTGAGAAGTGGTTTGCCATTCATGCAGGTTGGGAAAGCTCTCATAACATGAATGACGCGTATGCATGGCTTCTCAACAGACGGCATTACTCAATGCATCCCACTTTCTCTTCATGTTCTTTTCACAGAATAAGAAACAAAGAGCGTGGAATTGGGTATCTTGAAGCAAAGGTTGAGAGGAACAAAAGAAAATCAAAGGGAAAGTGACGTGTGAGAAACAAGAGTGAAACTCACGATAACTTGATGCGAAGACCCGTTCGCGGCTTCTTTGTCGGCCGCAGCGCAGTTGGCGTAACAGCACGCGATCCAACAGTTGAACTGCCTTCATTGAATGAAAAAGCCAAAGGTGATGAAACGGCGATATCGACATCGTCGCCGATATTGTTGCTGCTGGGCCTCTTGCTGGCTGATCGCGTGGCTCTCGTGCTAACGGGGGCCACCAAAGACTGCCGCGACCTTCTCGTCTTCCTCGCAGGAGTCACCTCGCGCTCCTCATCATCGCCATTCCGTACTGAACTTTCCCGTGCAGTATAGGCGTTGGTGGCCCTTTGAGCATCGCGACGCCGAGTCCAAAACAAGTCGTCGTCATCCGCAGGCATTTGAGCCTTGGCAGCGAGGCCGCCGTCCTTGAGACAAGCCGACTTGCTGTTGTTGCCTGTGGATTTGCTGAGCAACAACTCGGAGCCGGAGACCCTGCCAGGCATACTGGCATCGGTCGCGGATGCGTGGGTGCGGCTCGGATGTGTGGGAGAAGTTGGCTCCGAAGAGTTGGACACGGGCTGCTTGTCGGAGGCGAGAGATTTGCGGCGGGCGCTGGTGATTGGCCGAGATTTTGGCGCATCATGGGACGACTGGGACCGGTCCCCCGTAGTCGACGCAGCAGCAATCACAGTGTCAGCGACCGTGGCACCACCACCGCTGCCTCGGCCACCACTGGCAGACTGGTCGTGCGCAGCTTTGTTTGATTTGGCTGCTTTTGCAGCGGTGTGCTGGAGGCTGGGGCTGAGGCTGTGGACGCTTGCCTCTGGCGACGAGAGGCTCATGGCTGAGGACAGGGATGACTCGCTAGAGCCCGAGTCCCGTCGATTACGCCTGCGCGACGGCGTTCGCACGCTGTCGCCGTGCGCCTTGCTCCCGTTGGCCATCTTCTTGCTGCGCGGAGTGTCGTTGGCATGAGAAGTCTTGCTTCTCTTGGCCGCTCGCGCCTCGCCGCTGTCGTCGTCGGCGTGGTGAAGCAGGAGCCGGGCATACGGAGCAGCCTTGGGCTTGTGCGGAGTGAATCTGCTGTTCGTAGAAGGGGGCACGAAGTAGTAACAGCCCTGATCGTCCTTTTTTCCTTCGCGCTTCTTGACCTCAATTAGCCGAGCGAATTCATCCATCGTCTCGGCATCAGCCCTTTGCTTGAACACGTCCTCAATCATGGCCACAAACTCAGAGTCGCCGCTTCGTTCATCGTAGAGTGATCGTAGAGCCCAAGCCGTAGGATAACGATAGTGCATGAGCGCTTCATCAACGGCCGCCTCGACGACCTTGTCTGCAAACTCTGCGTCGTCAGGCTCCCGCCGATGCACGCGCTTCGGAGTAGTCGCCACTGGCTTAGGCTTTGGCGGAGAAATCACAACAGTCGTGACAGTCTTGCCCTCGCTGGTGCTGGCGCTGGCGCTGGAGCTGGCGTTCTGCCGTGCCTGCTTGGCAGGTAGCGACACGCGCCGCGATGGACGCCGACGCGCAGCTCCCTTGGGGTCGTACTCCTCATCCTCAGCATCCTTGGCGGCCTGTCCCCTCCTGTGCGATGGCGCTGACGCGGGAGGCGGCGGCGTGGAGGGAGCGGGGGGAGACGAGGCCCTCGGTCTGGTCCTATGCGCCGCCTGATCGTCCTGGTGGTTTGCGGCATGCGACGATCCGGATGGCCTGAGGATGATTTTGCGAACCGGCTGATGTCCCGGCCCAGCCTCGCCGCCCGTCTTCTTGGGCTTGGGCAGCGTCCCCAGCGGCGCCATGGTCTCGAGGACGCCGTATCTCATCAATCCCGCCTCCTCGAAGCTGGCCTTGCTCTGGACGGACGGCTCCAGCCATCGCTGCATAAACGTTTTGGATCCATCATTGGCGGCAGAGCTCTTGGCCTCCAGCGACCGCGACGGGCTGGAGAAGCGCGACCGCGACGCCCTCGTGTTGGAGGAAATCATGATGTTGGGCCTGGCGAGTCGAGTTGCTGGTTGCCCCCAGCCCTGGCCGCGGGACGGGCAACGCTCACTCTCGAGAAGTCTAGGGGAACAGCAACGGGTCAGCCGCGGGAGTCTGGCAAACTGTGGGCGGCGAAAAGCGCGCGGGAAACAAAACTGTACTTCTCACTGCAGCAACGGCGGCATCAACTATCCAGGCTCGATGCTCGCTTTTTCTCTCTTTTCCGCCGGCTGGACGCGCGTGGCTTGGGATGAGGCAAGGGCTGGCTGTGGGTGCAGGTTCTGGATGAGTTTCGGAGGAGGCGGCCAGGCTGTTGGACAAGGGGGGCGACCCAGTGGCACGTCCAAGGTTCAACACTTTCCCTCCACCACGGATTCAGAGTTCCGCCGTAGGGCCAGCAGGCAAACTCGAGGAAAAAAATTTTATCGCTTCGCAGTTGGGATGCTTGCACGCATTGGATGGATTTGCAGTGAGGCAGAGGCGGTCTGGGCTGCCTCGGCACATCGAATGGCTTTTGATGCTTGTAACTGCCTCCTTTCAGCTTGTCTAGGTAGACTCATGCTCTGCTGATACTAACGGCAACGCCTCTTTGATCTCGTCATTCTATCCTACCTATTCTCGTATCTTCTACGGCTCCCTCGTCTACGTCTTTTCGCCATCTATTTTTTCCGCCCTCTGCTTGTCCTCTCCATTTCGCCCTCTGTTCCTTTTACCCATGTTGAGGCTCCCTGGACCACTCAGATACACCATCTCGAGTCACGGGTCCGGGTCCGAGCCTGGGCATACCTGCATTAGTTACATGAGGGCATCTGCTACGCGTGAGCCATTATTGCGATATTTTCCCCCTGCTTACTAGGTAGGCATCCACTGCCGCCAGCCTCGCCTGTTGCCTCTGTATGACGAGTAAAGACGGCCTGGTTGGCTTCCTTGGTGTTCGAGTCCTGCCATGGCCTTTGTCCCCGCTCGGCTCTTGAACGATGATGAGCAGCAATCATGCCCAATCATATCGCTTCATATCGAGGCGAACCTATGGGAAACAAACCCATACTCCGCGCTGCTTTCATAATTAATCTCCATGTTGCCCCTTTGCATATTTCCTCTATCTTATCTTTTTTTTTCCTCATTTCTTTCTCATCTTCTTGGCAAGATAACGTCACTTCCTGTTACACTGCCTTCACCTCTAAACAACCGCCGTCATCGTCCTCTCGTATCTCTCTGTGTCCAAGTTGAAATACACGTAGCAAACCAGTAGCAGCAAAAGTTTGCCTTGAAATGAGTTTGTTGTCTGATGCCGGTTATACTGCCTCGCTTCACTAAATTCGTAAGCTCTCTCATCACTAGACAGGTTGCACTTGCAGAAAATCGGCGCCTGGGCTTTCACAAATCGCGAAGCCAATATTTCGTTTCTCTTTTCTTTGTTTTTTCTTGTCGAGTGGATATTCTGCCTATATATCAACCAGGCGGAATCCCACTTCCGGGCGGCCCTTTACAAAAAACTCTTTGTTTTCGATGCTTTACTCCGCATCAGCCTCCTCGGCAGTTCCATCAGCCTTCTTCTTCTTGTTCTTGGGCTTCTTCTTTCCGGTATTCCTGGCCAGGGGCTGCTCGAGGATTTTCAGAATTTCCTCGTCCGTGATCTTCTTGTCAGTCTGGTACTTGCTCAGATCGAGCTCAGGGGGGCCACCCAGCTTGGTGATGCCATTCTTGGTGATGGCTGGCGTGCTCACAGGTTAGCTCATCTGCATCTAGAGACTCGCGTGTTTTTACACAGCGACAGCAAAACTTACCAAAGGTTGTAAGGAGTCTGGCGACGGGGGAGTTGTCCTTGTCACCAACCATCTCGTACTGGCGGAAAACGTTGTTTCGCACACACTCGACAACGCCAGACTTGGCATCACGCTCGTCTTCCAACTGTCTCAAGCTGAAGGGGAAGGTGCCAAACTTCTTGACGACTTCGGAAAGAATCTTTCGGGAGGTGGGACGCTTCAGCTGGTAAGTCTGGGTGGTTCGGCGGTGGAGAGTTGCACGGTGGTCCAAGGTCTTGACCTTTCCAGAGCCCAAGCTCACACCGGTCTCGACGCCCCAGACCTCGCCCACTTCGGGGACACCCTCGCCCTTGGTTCCCTCGGCGGGGGCAACAACAATCTTCTTGGCTCCTTCAATCTCGTTGCGGGCAAACAGCCAAGAAGTGGTGCTCTCGACCAGCTTGGTGTCGTAGGCTTCGCACACCTTCTCCAACAGGCTGCTGATCTTGGACTGGGTGGGGGCCTTCTGGGAGGCGGCCTTGGCCTTCTCTTCGTCGGTACCCTGGGCGAGAAGACCCGGGGGGATCATCAAGCGGAGGAGAAGCTCATTAGCGTAGTGGGTGGCGAGGATCAGGTCAGCGTCGCGTCCGGTAACAGGCTCAGCAGCCTTGTCCTTGGAGGTGGCGAGGACAGTGTTGCAGACAATGGAACCAAATCCGTCAATCTGAGCTCCGAGCTGGATCTTGATGGCCTCGCCCTCCTTGATCTCGATTGAAGCCTCGCTCTCATCAGTGGTGAGGGGAGTGTAGGGGGTCACGTAAGACGAAGGGGAAACAGTGGTCGGGTGAGAGAAACCTTTTGTACGTCATCAGCCATCTTGCCGCAGAACAGAGGTTAAGCCGAGAATACGCATGATACTCACCCTTGACAATCTTCTTTCCACGGTAGACCTTGGCAAGCTCCTCTTCGAGCAGCTTGTCACCCTGCTGGCAGATATCGACAATCTTTGCGCCGGGCACGCAGAGCTCAGACACAGCGGCCAGGACCTTTTCGGAGATCTGGGCCGCGGTCTTGTACTTGGTGAGAGTATCCGGGTTGTTGAGGGAGTAGTCTATGCCACATCGTTAGTCTCGATTCACCGTGTAGGCTGCGATGGGGCTTGGAGGCTGTGGTCGTGTGCGACAGCTATGATGATGGCATATGAGGCGAGTGAGAGCTTGCTGCTCGGCTTGGCGGGGTACCCAAAAAGAGGGCGGGGAGCTTAATTGCATGGCATAGCACATGAATACAGTGCGCACAATGAGCTTCAGAGTACATACCGACTTCCTTTGTCTCCGACATGGTGGGCAATTGATGGAGCTCGAAAGCGATTCTTGGGGTGTTTTTGGCTGGTGCAGATGTTAGAGCAAGCTTGAGACTCGCTGCGTCGCAAAAAAATAGCAGGGAAAGAGAGCAAGCGAAAGCTGTGGTGTGCGCAAAATTGGGACCTGCCGATGGGGGCTTTGCTTTTGGAGGGGTTTATCCGGCTGTTGACGGGGCCACTACGGGGCTTTGCATGCCAGTGCAGTCATACGGACGACGGCTAGCTGTGCCTTGGATTCAGCTGTTATTCAAGGTGCCAATACGAAGGGCCAGGGCGATTGTCCGGGCGCTACTTGCTGCTGCCGGCTCGACGATTGGGCGAGCCGTTTGCCGGGAGTGGGTTCGTTCTTGTTTTGGTTTTGGCCTGGTGGTGGTTCTGACGCACATATTTTATGGCAGCAGCCAACCAGACATGGCCGCAAGCAGACAGCAGCTTCTTACTAGTAGCATCCAATCGTGTACCTCACCTCTTCTACATGCGTCAAAGCCGGGATTCCCATGGTTAGACACTTGTAGTTTGAAATGCCGACTTGTATACAGCAATGTCGAATAGATGGACCCGAGGCGTCAAGTGCGTTACATCACTTGACAGCCCATGTTAGGGCACAAGACGCACGTCACCAGCTCCCCATAGCGCCTGTGCTGAGACGATGGCGACCCAAAACAACAAAAGGCCCTGGTCCTTGACGTGCTGCTTATTACACCCAATAGCAATAAACAGGTATATACGTACTATGGATAATATTCGGCTTCGTACTCCGCAGTCTTTAAATCTTGCGCCTAATTAATCATTGCGTCTTCATTGGCCGCCTGTCGAGATGATTGCAGGGTATGTCCACCATCAGCTATGATATATACAGCTGCTAAATCTTCGTGTTTCATCTATAGCCTGGGTGCTGCTATTAGTTCCTCCCTTGATTACGCCATATGCAGTAGAAAATGAAGATTAATTCATCAATTGAATAGCATCTGGAAATACTACATATCGTATTACTACTTGCAATATCATCATGTGAAAGCGTCGAGTGTTGCGTGCCATCGGTTGATCTTCGGGAAACACGTTTTGTTGACGGCAACCAACTCGTCTTTTTGGCTCGCTCTCTGAGATCTTGGAACAGCAGATGCCCTTTTGCTCTTAATAATCGACCTGGCCGCATGGGATTGGCCAGCCGAGTTAGTAAGGAATCTGCGTATTATTTCGAGAGCGGCGCCTTAGTCTCTACTAGCGCCCAGGCATCTAGTACCAGATAGGTAGTTCTTCCCACTAGCATTAATTATCAGGAACTGCACTCATTCGCGCTGCTGCGATTAGAATCTTGTCCTCAAACCACCCAAACTCCACGTCTCCGCGACTTACAGCGCATTTCTCCCACAACCACCTCCGCCACTGCTGCCACGGCACATCTCGGGTAGGGACCAATCCCCAGTCCAACGCACCCGAGCGTCGATCCGTCTGCCGCACCGCCGCGGCGACTTGGCAGCGCCAGCGCTCGCGACGAGATCAGGACCTCTCCACCATGGCCGCGGTTCAGCCATCAATGCCGGCGCCCGCGACAGGCTCGGCGTCGACCGCGACGTCGGTCTCGGCGTCTGACGATACAAAAGATGCCGTGGCCAAGCCGGGGGCCGCTGAGATCCCCGTGCGCACCAAGGAGTCCTTCGACCGGCTGATGGTTGAGCGCTACACGATGCGCGACTCCATCGCCGCGTCGGCCCTCAGCCAGCAACTCAACCAGACCATGAAGTCGTCCCACGAAATGCGTGAGATGATTACCGAGTACCGAAACGTGCGCAACGGATACCAGCAATGGTTCCCCCCCAGCAGATTATACGGCGAAGGCTACAACGGGTATGCCAATGGATATACAGAGAGCCACGGCCCCTCCCGAGTCGTGTATCCGTCACAGAAGCCTCGCCCCGGCCACCGAACAACCCCGCCCTTGAAATATAGCCGCAAGGATATGCTCAAGCAGGCAGAGCAACATGAGGATTTAGTGCCGCTGAGGCTGGATGTCGAGTGGGACAGAGTCAAGCTGCGCGACACCTTCACATGGAATCTACATGAGCGTCTCTTGGCCGTCGAGCTGTTCGCTGCGCAGCTAGTCGAAGACATGGGCCTGAAACCTCCTGCCTCACAGCCTGTCTATGAGCAAGTCGTGCAGCAGATGCGAGAGCAGCTCAATGACTTTTACCCTTTCGCTTATTACGAAGAAGACTCGCTAGACCCAGAGCTCCCGTATTCCGCCTATAAAAACGACGAGATGCGCATTCTAGTCAAGCTAAACATCACAATCGGACAGCACACCCTGGTCGATCAGTTCGAATGGGAAATCAACAACCCGAATAACTCGCCGGAAGAGTTTGCTGCCAGCATGACTCGAGATCTTTCCCTGTCTGGAGAATTTACGACGGCGATTGCCCACTGTATCCGCGAGCAGTCGCAGCTCTTCACAAAGAGTCTCTACAGCATTGGCCACCCATTCGATGGCAGGCCGGTCGAAGATTCGGACCTGGTGGCTGCCTTCCTGCAGACACCCTTGCCAACTGTATTCCGCCCGCAGCAACAAGCCAAGGAATACGCCCCGTACCTGTACGAAATGAGCGAAGCCGATTTAGAGAGGAACGAAACCGTCTTTTCTCGTGATCAGCGTCGTCAGAAGCGATCGATTAACCGAAGAGGTGGACCGCAGCTTCCTGACCTCAAAGATAGGCAACGCACCATCCGGACGCTCATCGTCTCATCTGTACTCCCTGGTGCTGCGGCAAACATTGAAGAGAGCAGGCTGTACAAGAAGGTGGCGGGCCCTCCCAGGAAGCGACCCGCCCGTGATGGTGAGATATCAGAGTCCGACGAAAGCGAGGATTCAGCGCCCGAGTCTCCTGCGCCCTCAAATATGGCTGGTACGGCTCGTACGAGGAATATGCGCGGCGCTGCAACTGCCGCCCAACAAAGAATGGCCAATTTGGGCCGGTCAGAAACTCCAGATATATCTAGTCACCATCATGAGACTAGGACGTCGCGTCGCGTCCGCGAGGAAACGGAAGAACGTATGAGTCTATGGGTGACGCTGAGAATCAACAATAGGGACAAGCTGAGGAGAGTTACGACTGGCGATTATCGCGACTTGGCGACCCCCTCAGTACCGCCCGATACCCCTGGCTCAACATCCAACACGAGAACACCGACCTTTACAGCTCCGCCAAGGCCCAATGCAAACACACCTGTTCCAGCTCCTACTTCATCTTCTTCGGCTCCTGCACCTCAGTCAACAGGCGCTTCAGGGGCCGTTCCTCCCGGCCAGATAGGTCGCCTGCCTGCGCCGCCGCACATTCCCGGCCAATCCCCTCCCCCAGCAGTAAGTTTTATCAAACACCCCAATATCTCCTGAAAGAAAGTCATCAGCTCACATCGCGCTCTATCAACAGCCTCCTCCACCTGAATGGCTTGTACAGTCATTAAGAGAGCTCGAAAGTCACTACCCCAATGGTGACAGGTTCGAGGCCATTATGAAATATTCACATCTCGACCCGGTCACGGAGCTGCCCATTCAAACACAGCCAATGCCGGAAGGCGTCAAATATGCTTGGCTCCCTCGCATCCGCTGTCTGGACTGCACAACAAAGCTTTATACCCCTGGCCCAGACATGACAGCGCAAAAGTTTGAGGCCCATCTCAAATTCTCTGGGCATCGTGAAAGGGTCAGGGCCAGACTAGCAGCCCAGGGCAATGCTGGGGGATCCTCATCGGCGTCATAACCAAACTTAATGAGAGGGAAGAAAAAAGATTAATAGATGAGCGTGTTTAGAAAGGGGGCGTGAATCTTGAATAACGCGCTATATGATAGCCCGGGAGCAAAACCTATGACGACCTTTTTTGGTGTTGGTAGATATATGAAGAGCGGAGGAAAGGAGAGGTAAAAAAACAGTATGCTATTGTATTACACAAGTCTTGTTTTTGGTGTAGAGAAACGGCTTTTTTTTTATTCTACTTTTTTTTTTTTTGGAAAGACTTTTTGTCAAAATCAGGATTTAACACGGCGGAGCAGAGAATATGACTTTCAAAGGCCGATAGTGCCGTGAGGCAATATTATTATTCAACGCGTGATAAAGAGTTTTCACAATTTTACATTGTCTATGCCTAAAAGGACGGAGAAAAATATTGGGATATATAACTTTGCAAAAGGGCTTACGTCAAGTACTGATCCCCCCCACTTCATCGAATATCATTCATTCTCTTTGCCCTTTCCCTTCATTATTCATCAAACAAGGCGGTAAATCAGCTTTGAAGCAACAATCATAAGGGAGTAACAGGAGGTAGTAATAGCAGTAAAGGAAAAAAACTCCCCCGGCCTCCAGTGCTTGAATAAGATCCCTCCAAGTACAGAAAGGATAGAAACAAATTGGAACAAAAAAGAAAGGCGAAATCATAACGTTGAGCACTAAACAAGAAACGGACAAATCAGAGAGAGGGGGGAGAGACCAATATAAACAATTTTTGTCTTCTTCAAAAAAGAATACAGTCTCCATCTCGAAAGAAATAAAAGAAATCCCAAAGAGTGATAGGAAAAAAAAAGAAGAAATCATTCTCGTCTCCAAACAGGAAAACAACAAAATTCAAATTCCTAACATACACGTATTTCTTTTTACTCCTCATCATCATCCACATCCATATCCGATGCTCCCCTGGCCGTTCGCCCGCGAGTAGAGCGCGTGCTTGCCCTAGCTGATGCCAACGCGCTGGCTTTGACGGCTGGTGCTGCTTTTCCTCTGCCTCCTCTTGGAGCGGCGAGTTTCCTTCCGTTGCTCTTTGGCTGCTCTGGCTCTGGCTCAGATGCTTCGTTCTCTTCTTCTTCTTCCTCGGCGGCGTCTTCTGCCTCGTCATTTTCTGGCTCAGAAGCATCAGAGTTGTCTTCGTCGCCGCCTTCTTCCTCCTGCTCAGATGCGCCTTCGTTGTCATCGTCCTCTTCATTGCCATAATCCCATTCCGCAACGCCCTCCAACATTTCTTTTTCGTCCTCTTCGTCCCCACGCTCTGCGTAAGTCGAGATGTTGTGAGAGCGGCCACTGCGCCGTCGCTCACTCTCAGGGATATTGGACTCTGCTTTCTTAAACTTGGGAACCGCTTTGGGCTTTGTGGGCTTCTTGCCAGGGGTTTTAGCCGACTTGGGCTTTGAGCCGGGCTTTCCTCTGATAACAGTCTTCATCTGAGTCTTGGGTTTCTTTGCTGGGTGGTCTGCTGCTTCATGTATTGACTTGCGTTTCTAGAGAGTCATATTAGCATTGTTGACCATTTATGAATTTAAAGAATCCGCGTCATGGCAATACCTTCTTTCGGTCCATCACCCGAATCAAGTCATCCAATTTTTCGTCCAGTTCCTCCGGAATAAACTGCTTCTGCGCAATATGCTGAGCAACTTCGCTGGACGGAAGAGCTGTATACAACCCCGTAGGTAGACCAACTTTGCCTGGCCAAGCCTGGAAGCTCCAATTCTTCCTCTCCTGGTATTTACGAACCAATGTCTGGGCTAGATCGCTCAACACATAAAGATTTTCGCTCTTCTCCGGGTCAACGCCGTCACGCGTTTGCTTCACCCTTTCGGCGTATTTGTAAATTAGAGAGATGTTTCCCTCGGTAGCAACGGCACCCAAATAGAAAAGGAAATAGCTTGCAAAATCAACCAAATCGGCCTCGTCTGAGCTGTAATCTGGATGGTGAGCCAATAATGGGATAAGTCGTCCCATAAGTGCTTCCATGATCTGCTGCTCATTCTGGGCATAGAACCGAGCTCGTGACCGGAGCCAGGTTTCAACACGATTTTTGAGTTCTGGAAAAGGTTCGAATGCGGTTAGGAAGAGAATAGTATGGAAACGCGCACGCAGTTTGCCTCGAGTGAGATAGTTTTGCAGCTTGTCCATAAAGCGGCGGCGTACCTGAAGCTCGGAATCTTGAACGAGCTCCGCAAGCTTGTTGAAGCCTGCATGGTCAAACTGATCATCGTATTTCTTCACAGTGCAGAGCTTCAAAATCATTAGACCTGCTAGAAGCCTAAGACGCTTTTTGTGGTGTTTGGGCGTATCCTTTACTTTGGACAGCTCGCCCTCCGCGGCAACATAGGTTTTAAGGAGCTTGAAGATGGGCTTGATTCGCGTGTCTGCATCAGTGTCTGTCGACGTAGCAAGAGCTCGATTTACTAGAATTCTTATGGAAAGACTCTTTGCTTGGAGCTCCTCGTCCATGTCGGCATCATCGACCCAAGACGGATCTTTGTCCCCGGCCTCAGTTCGGACTTCGTGCAGAATCTTCTTGATGGTTATATCATTAATTGCATCGTCCGAATCCACAGTAACAGTCGGTGCCAAGCGCTCTAGTTGACTAATAGTAGCCAGCTTATTGAGAAAGTGAGGCGCTCCATACTTCAAGTTCGCCATCACCTTGCGCAAAAGAGTTGTGGCTGTCACTTTGCTCTTGTCATCGTTTTTCGCCAAGAGGACGTTGATAGCGTATTTGGGTGTCTTGATAGGAACGCCGTAGAGAGCGTAGTTCATGAGAGTCTGGGTGAAGGTCTTGTCATATTTGACGTCCTCGGGATACCTCTTGGCATAGGATGAGTAGGCCTTGAGAATGTCGCTAACAGAGGCATCCTGAGACTTTGTAGTTTCGGTTGGAGCTTTCTGAATCAGTTCTTTCCGCAATTCCTCGGCATGAGCTTTGAAAATATCGGGGTTTCGCTGAGAAATGTCGTTGAGCACCTGATGCGCCACGGCAGCGAAGCCGTTCTTGTCGCTCTTTGAATAGTCCATGATAGTGGCCAAGTGGCTTCGGTTGAACATGAGACAGCTTGACCGATATAACAAGGGAATCAGCGTGTCCAGAGAACTAGCCCCAGAGCTTGCCGAGATTTTCGTAATCAGCTCGGCGATTGCGCGTCTCACGGTCTTGAAATCGCTTTCGGACTCAATCGCGTACTTGACGAGCTGGTAGCTACGCCGTTCGTTGAGCTTTACAAACTTTTGAAGATCGCTACGAACCTTTAGCGGATCGGGGAAGTAGGCACCGAACCATTGCATGGTTTTGGCGAGGCCAGCCTTGACTTTATCTTCGTTGGCTTCAATGACGCCGCCGTTGTATGCCTCGCACTGCTGGATGAAGATCTCAACGCCCTTGGCAAATTGAGGCTGGCGCGCCTGCATGGCAAAGAATGCCTTTTGTGCTGGAGTATCGAGAGACTTGAGCATCAGCAAGATTCTCTCGGCTCGTATCTTATCCTGGTCAGCCTGGCCAGCCGCGGCTTTCCCTTGTGAGGATGCAGCTGCGGTTTTAGCCCCCTTGCCCTTTATGAGGGGATACTTTAAGGGTATCAGGCATTCGAACATGACGCGGTCGAGAAGAACATTGAGATCAGGATCGTTGGCGTAAAAGGCATTGATAATGCGCGATGGAACGCCCGAGAGGCAGGCAGTAACGGCTTCCTGTCCGTCTGCAATCTCCCCGGAACCGACTGCCCACAGTTTGCCAAGCAGGATCATGGCCTCGACGCGCACAGCCGGTTTTCTGTCTCGGCATCGGTCTGCAAGACTTGCAAAGACTGAGCCCTCTTTCTCTACGCCGCCAATAATGCCCAGTTTTAGGACAATGTCTCGGAATTCGAAGAGCTCAATCGCCTTGACAGCTGCCAAACGCACTTTTTCTTCGCTATCATTCAGTTTGTCGACCAGAGCTCTTACTAGCTCGCTTTCCTCTTGGCTGCTAAGTCCAATTCCTCCGGCAGAAGTAGACAGAATGTAACCAACGGCGGTTACCCAGGCAGTGCGTATAGTTCCCGTCTTGTCGTTTTTCCGGCCCACAAAGTTGCGATATGTCGCATGGTGTGTCTGGGCGAAGGATTGAGGAGAGTATGGTTTGGTGAGAACATTGGCCTCGGCAACAGTTGTTGGAGCATCGTCCATCAGTCTGATCGGAGGATAAGCGGCCGGGTCGAGTACGGGGGGCTGCGGCGGACCTGCAGCTCCAATGCCGGATATCATATCACCAAACGTCTCTGTAGCTATAAGACGCAGGTGAACGTTGTCGGCTGACAGCTCAGCATCTAGCTGAGGAATAACGTTTTGGAGGACGGTAGGTGCTGCTCGCCACAACTCTCGGATAAGAAGATGGGCCTGGCGTAGGCTCTTCAAATCAGCCTCAGAAGGCCCTGCATGACTATCTTCCTCATCTGAGTCGTCTCCATGGCGATTGGCATTCCCTGCGGTTGCAAATCCGGAGGCATTGAGAATCACATCGCTGAAATACTGGCTCACGTAACGTGCCATCTTGTCTGCGCATCCATTACAAATGGCTTTGGCCATGACATAGGCCGCTGGTTCCGTCTTGTGGAGGAGCGTTGATTGTTTGCCGTTTTGCTCCTTGCTTCGGCCACCGCCAGGGGGGGCTGCTCGCAAGAATTGGCTGATGATGGCGTCAATAACGCTCGCTGGGACACTGCCGGGAGACTCGTCAATCAGCTGGATCAGCATTTCTGTTAGGTGAATTTCAACATCTTTTGCAACTTGCTCTTCGGCTGGTGCTTTGGCATTTGCAGACACTCCATCAAAAGTCGAATTGAACAGGCGCAACAAGAGGTCGTCGGCTCCATGGATTTCCGAGATGAGCAGGATACTCTTGACATCAGTTAGAGACATGAGAACGTATTTGTGCTGGCTATTATATGGATTCGTAGGGTCTTGGAGGCTCGGTAGAATATCCTTTACGAATAGGCCGAACATCATCTATGCAGGATCAAGTTAGCAAGCTAGGCCAGGACGGTTCCGAGGCTTGGCGAGCCTACCTTGAGCTGATCATCCGTAAACGGGGCATCTGGGACGAACAGGCGCAGAATATCAACCAAACAGCAGGCGGTATATGCCTTGACGCCTCTGTCCTTGTGCTGCAGAAGGTTGCGATGCGCCAGCTGGGCGGAGACATCCTTGAGTGAGCTCAGGTCGACCTCGCCCTGTTCAAAGTCGGCCAGCTCTTTTGACAGCTTCTCCAGACGAGTCAGAAGAGTGCCGCTGGGAATTGGCTTCGCAGGCCGCCACGACAGCTCCTCGTTGAATTTGAGGCTCTGGTGCTCTCCCTCTCCTTCATAATCGCCCTCGGCAGCTTGCGGTTCCGCCTCGGGCTCTGCTTCCGACTCGGCTTCACCACCAGATTCCGGGTTCGAGTCGTGGAGCTCAGCGGGCGCGGGAGACGCCTCCTCCACTGGCGCCGGCGCCGACCGTCTCCTTGCGGATTGGCGGGAGCGCATGTTTGCGCAGGTACAAAGATGGCGACGTGGTGCTGTCGAAAGGCGGCGAACAAGCTGTCCCGAGGTCCGCTTAATTGGCTGGTCGCGAAGTCGTTCGTCTGCTGCGGCGCGCGGGTCACAGCATCGCACAGTTAGAAGTCGTTTGTTGACGGAGAAAGGAGCAGCTGCCTAGCTCGAGGACGCGACGACGGTTCCCGGCAGTTTTTTTCTCCTGGGTATGATTACAATTTTTTCCCTCGCTCCGGCGTTGGGCGTAAGAGAGTGATGCACAAAGATAACGATTTGCGGGAGGGCACATGAGCCAGAAGTTTAGAGGGGAGCTCCAGCGCTCAGTTACGCGACGCGATGGGAGATGTTCCGGAGTGGCCCCGCGTTTATTGCTAGCCAGGCACTGCTGCTAAGAACTGCCTGCGAGACGGTAAGCCCGAAGGCGACGACAGACGCCAGGCATTGATTGTTTACTCTGAGGTCGCAGACGCTATATTAGCCCGTCAATGCACGCCCAAACACTCGCTGCACCGTAATATTCATCGTCCTCGCTCGGCTTTTATTTGGGCAATGCATTCGGGCAATCTCTGTTGTCACCAAGCGACATCGGCTCTACTTTACTCCAGACTTTGACTGCTGTCGACATTGTTTATCTGATTATTGTAGCACCGAAACTGGTCGGAAAATCGAAAATCAATGTGAGAGTGTCATGATGCTAACCCCCCCTATTTTTTCACCGCCGCTCCCGCCGTGGATAAGTTGTTGTCAATATTGCCTGATGTAGCATCGCCAGTCCTGTGCGTTATGAGTCGATGTTGCACCGTTTTTAGATCTTGTTTTACGTCCTTCATTTAGCATGGAATCTGCTTATAGCCAATGCACGGGTTTAGGTCCCTACCCGGTTGCTTGAGCAAACATGCACGCTGGTGAGGGATGCTGGCGATGCCTGGTGGAAGTTGGCATATTTCTACACTTGTACACTTCTGCGCTTTCTACTTGACAACGTCGGCGGGGCTGAATTAAACAGTTATTTTTGAAGTAAATAATCATATCAATTGTACACATAGCGCTGAGCACCTCAAGGCATCAAACTTGTAGTCTATGGATCACATTCGTCGTTGGCAAAATGCGGCAGTCTGTCTTGATATGCAACCTTCCACTCGATGCCGTATACGCATCTGATCCTGCGCCGCAAGCAAGCCTAGACGGATCACCAACCGCATCTGTTTCACATCTCGGGTATCTATTCAGGACCGGAGTTCCATGACTGTACTCGCGAGTTCTGGCAGTGACTGTTGTGCAAAGAGCCCTGGGTGTCACCACCAATTACCACATTCTGGAGGCACGGTTCTATATAATGCCGACTGGCATAATGATGATAGTAGCAATGGCTGTGCTATATTGCTATTCATGGATCTGAGAGACCATCTCCTATTTGCTATTATTAAACGTATATGTTCATTTACATGAAAATAGGCAATTATTGTTCCTTCACTGCCTCTTCCATACATCAGCAGAGAAAGCTTGCCATTTTCACGATGACACATCCCCGTCACCACAACTCGTACAGGAGACTGCTCCAAGACCTGCATATTTTCCATCTTTCTAGACGGAAGAAAACCACTGCACTTCTAGGCGTTGAAGAGGCAAACAGCTATAAGTGCCAAGTCGCCAGTTTGCCGGTCCGGCAAGGCACCCCCCTCAACATCCATTCACCAAGTGTGCCCAGATAAACAAACGAAATAAATGTGACGCGTGCCTCGTGCTTTTCAAGCGTGATTCAGAGAATTGAGCCAATGAAAAATAAAGAGGAAGAAGAAGAAAAAAAAGCGCGCACATTTTCATCACCTCTCTTCTCCTCTCCCCCTCCCACTTCTGTTCCCTCACCTGCATTCAACACACTCGTTCCAGTCATTATCAACTGCAACAGCATTTCGACTTTCTCACGCTCTCTTGAGTTCAAACGCATCTGTTCTCTTCACATCTTCTGAAGCTTTTCTTAAACCAGGTATGAAACTCTCCTGCTTTGTCCCTTCTGTTGTGTCATCGTCACGCCTGTATCACCTCGAGCTGCTCTTCCCGAACAAACTCTTCCCGCAACTCCCATCACCAGCCCGTTGCAGAGCAGATTTCTCGCTAATATCTCAATACTCCTAGTCTTATTACTCTACTTAAGCACTCTGCAAGTCTATTCCAAGTATGCCATCTTCTCTCCCCAGCCTCTATCCAAGCAAAAGAAAGATTAACCCATCTTCCACAGTGGCGAGCATGAAAGATTCCGAATCTGGCGCCGTGCCTCAGCGCAAAATGGGCACGTTGCGAAAAGCCAAGAAGCATCTCCTCGAGGCCAGATTCCTCATGGGCGCGGCCGTCGGCATCTCCCTGCTCACTGCAGTTCTTGTGATCAGCCTCCTGGCAGCTCACTGCGGTATGATGTCCTCCCCGCTGAAACAGAAGATGGGCATGATTTCTGACCAAATACAGCTGGCCTTGAAAAGCTACTTGCAACTCAGAGGGGATTTGCTATTGCGAGCCAACAGGCTCTCCCAATGGTCAACCACAAGCTTGGTCGCCGTGATGTTGACTGCGACGAAACCGATTTGAGCATGTCTGGCTCTGCTGATGAGATTGTTACACTCGTTCTTGATAATGGTTCTATCGCTGCCGCAACTCAACCACTTGCAGCCAAGGCCGTCGTTTCTGTCACCAGCATCCCAATCTCGTAAGTAAAATGTCCATCTGCAATGGAAATCCTTCTGCTCACGCCTTGACACAGTACCCAAACGGCCATGTCGACCATCTACAGCATCATCACCCCATCCCAGCCAGCCATCGTGACCAAGACCAAGACCATGACGACTTCAGTCCTTCCCACACCAGAGACATCCGTGTGCTCGGCCTTTAGCACCACGGTTACTGTCACCGTGACCGTCGTGCCAACCCCCAGCCCCTGGACCTCCAGCTCTGTTCTCGGTGACGTTACCGTGACTGCTGGCGCATCAACCATCACCAATGTCAACACAGATGTCTCTTATACCAGTGGACTGCCGGATGCCACCATATCAGGAAATCCATCAACCGTCACTGCCGTTGATGTTTCTGTGACTGGCTTGCCGGACGTGACCATCTCTGGAAACCCATCCACAATTACCAACGTCCTTACCGACGTATCTCTCACCAGTGGTCTTCCAGACGCAACTGTCTCCGGCAGTCCATCAACTGTCACTGCAATCCAGACCAGCCTATCTCTCACCCCAGAACCCGTCACTTCGTTCGTCACCGTGGTCATCTCTGACCTCTGGGGTCCTTCGGCCAGTTCCTCCGCCCCAGACTGGGTAACAGTCACCGCCATATCTACCATCAGAACAACCGTCACCACCATCGACGCCGCTCCATCTCCCATCATTGTCACCGTTACAAGCGCTTACCCTGAGCCTGCGATGAGTACCTCGACGGTTTCCTCTGACAGCTCTAAAGCCGGCGCTCAGACGTTCCGCCCAAGCGCCCTCACCCAGACCATCACCGCGACCAATGGTCAGCCCGCCACGACCACTACTACTGTCCTCATACCGTCAGTGTTCTCTGGCACCAATGGCACCGCGAATGGGTATCCATCTGGTACCGCAACGAGCATCATTATGCCCTCTATCCCAGTTATTGTCTCTGGCAGCAGCAAGGGCATGGAGCCGCTCAGCCACGCTCTTTGCCTCATCATGGCGGCTGCAGCCGTCATGTCTATGCTCTAAGAGTATCCTTTTAGTGGGTACTCTTTGAGATAGCATTGGACAGATAATTTACTGTATGTAAGATACACAAGGAACTAGTTTTGCTGATTTACTTTTTATTTTTCTTTCTTTTCAGACTGAAGGCAGTCACGGGGAACTGGATGAGCTATGGTCGGTAGACTGGCCATCAGACAAGGAATGACGATGTTTAATATTTCAGAGCAATTTTATGCAGTTGGGAATCACAGGTTATAATATAATCGCAGAGTTTTCTGGACTTCAGAAAATTTAGTCTGATAAGAGAACAACTCATGACCCAGTAAACTAATATGATATCTTGAACTTAAAGCCATCGAAGGAAAAATACCTTATCCATCATTAGAACATTGATGGAAGGAAAAGAAAATCTTGTCCAAACGCCTCAATCTTGTCCCAATAGGCTGCCCCTAGGACTCCAAATGCCACCATACCCAATTAGTACCTATAACAACGACTCAGGTATATATACCCGTCGTCCCGAAACTACCTGAGAACCTCTTCCCGTTTGCCCTCGTTCATTTCAAACAAAGCCGGAGCAAAATGTTGATTCCAACCCCCAACGCAAAAAGAAAGAGAGAGCGTCCTGCTTGAAGCCACTGAAGTGAGCAATATTCTGCTATCGTTGCCCGCGCGCATTTTCTCGTGCTTGTCTAGCCTTCCAGCTGTCTCTGATCCGACCAGCAGCGCCATAGAGGTCATTCACCGAAACGCGGTCATTGATACTATCCAGGACGCTTGAAACTGTACTCGTGTGGTTTGCCTCGTGTTTATCGTCTCTGAAGCGGAGAATACGCCATCTTCGTTGATCATCCTGGTTACACTCCACGATGCGATCGTTCAATGGGTCGTTCAAGCCTTTCAGCGTCTCCCACTCCTCTTCCGTAATGTAAAGCTCATCGAAACGAGCGTATTTTTCTGGGCCATCGCCCTTGAAAACGAATAGCTCTGCTTTTGGTAGGCTATCATAATCGGTAAAGGGCTCTGTAATGCCTTCTTTGCGCTCCCATTCATCTGGCTCAACAAGCGGGAACGTAAGTCTCATTCGTAGGTCAATGGTGTTTTCTTCCGGTGGTTTCCACTTAAGAATGTGAGGGTCGGTGCCGTGCTTGTAGGCAGTATTCCGGCATGTGAAAATAAGGCCATCATTCCCATGCTTTAGTGCTGGCAGAATCTGTTTGAACATCATCTCGATGCCGTAGCCGAGTTGAAACGGCTTCATTTCCATGTAGAAAGGCTGGTATTGTAGCTCGTCTGGATAGTCCTTGAACATTTTTTTATACGGTGTATACAGCCGTTCTCTGAAATAAGCCAGGCGTTTATCAAGAGATCGATCCATGAGCTTATTGCCATCCATCACGAGACAGTCGAAAACAAGGAATCGAGGCTCCGTTCCTCCATCGGGTCGCTTGTCCCACACCAGTTCGCCATCAACAAGCGTTGCTGTGTGGAAAGCACTCACATCCGTCTCGCGCGGGAAATGCAGGCTCTTATTGGTGATGTACCAATAGTCATTCTTGCGATCAATCAAGTAGTGCGCTTCCCCTTGGTTCTCATCCTCGGTCAAGTAGAGAAGGTAGCGGATTCCGTCGGATTTTTCGCATACGTAGTAGCTGGCACTTTGTTAGCCATGAAAGCCCAAGACGGTTGGGTATTTGCTGGTCACTGCCTTACTCTTGTTTCGTCAACTCGTCCAGATGTTGTCTGGCAAAGCTGACGGGCTGCGCGCCCGGAAAGCTAGTCTGTTGTCTGCCCAGCAGCTCTGCCACTTCTCGCCGCATGGTATGCAGGAGCTGGCCCTCCGCCTTGACGCCGGGCTCATCAATCGACCCTATGGGCCCGTCTGTTTTGTTGGGCTCCATTGTTCGTCGTGCCGGCCTTGGTCAATCGGCGCGTCGCAGCTCGGCGGCGCTGCAGGATCGAGATCGCCGAGAGAAGCAAAAAGCCAGCTGAATCCTAGTCTCCAACAAAATGATATCTGTAGACAATTTAGTGCTACCTGATTGAGCAGCAAGCGCGCTCGAGGCAGGACACCTCTTGAGCGTAGAGCGTAGCGTATAGGTCTAAATTGGAGGCTGAAAGAGCTGTAATCAAGATGCTGTGACGTGCAGCAGCACTACCAGCTCTGTTGCCTTGGCGCTTATCGATAAGGCGCAACAGCCGTAGCGAATATGTAGGAGAATCAGCTTGGGAATCCCCAAAGAACCAAAGCATGCTGAGAGAAAAAGGTGAAAAGAAGAGAAGAGGAAAAAAAAAAAGTCATAGTCTATCAATGTCTCTTATAGTACACTTTTATGATTTCTGTAAAACTAAGTTTGCCAACGTAAATGGACCTCAGTCAAAGCAAGAAGACGACAGTATGACTTTACCAGCGCCATCGCTACGCAAAGTTGAACCTTAGATACACAGAGATACAAAGATACAACGCCAAGGCAAATTTACAGAGATTGAATAAAGATTAATTGCCATCTAATTAGAGTTTCGCATGATGATATCACCTATTTGGTATTCAGATAAGACGCAAGTTGCTCCTGAAACGGCGCCAAGAGCAGCTTGATAAGAATATTAGGTATAACGAGACGGCCATTTTAGATTAGAAAGTCATCTTCTTGGCCTTTCTTCTTACATTAGAAATTCATCAGCATGTTTGTCCGTTTCAGTGACAACTCGCTAATTGTCGTCTATTTTATCGACCTCTGCCCTGGCCTCTTCCCACTGCTGCTTGCTCTTGCGTGCCCACTCAACTTGACTTCTCGCGTATGCCAACTGCCGAGACTATTAGCAACAAAATTTGAAGATATTTGGGTGGTGACTTTTTGGCTGCTGTAGACTTACCATATATCGCCTCAAGTCATCTTCCTTGTCTTTCTGGAACCGCTTCAAATCGCTAAGCACACTGGCGCTGGCATCCTTGACATCTCTTTCAGAAGCTACTTGGGCCTGTTCTAGCTGGCCTATAGACTCGCGCGTCTTTCCGATGGTATCTCGGCGAGTTCGCTCAGGGTCCACGTCCACGACTCCCTGCACTGCGTGGCGGATTGGACCAAATATCTTGTTTGTTATAGAGTTTGTACTAGGCATCTTTCGGTGTGTTATGGTCGACGCACTTCTCTCGGGGACGCCTTGGTTTACAGACGGAGGAACCGACGGGAAATCGCCATGAGTCGGTGGGAAATCGGAGTCTATAGATTCAGTATCCTCTTGGCTTCCATCGCGTCGATGCTGTGTCGGCGGCTCTCTAAGACTCGCCGACCGCTTAGGAGGGGGAGATATTTGCTGGCTGCTCGAAAGGTACTGCTCAATGCGCCTTGCTTCTGCTTCACTGCGCTCAAGCTGGTCCAACAGGGCTCTCTTCTTGTTGAGCTCCTCACTTGTCATATCTTGCTGCACACGCTTGAGGACTCTATACCGCAAGACGCTTCTGACGACACCTGCAAACTGGGCATTCTCTCTCATTGGTTCTGCAAAACTGGCGCCCAAAGTGCCTGAAAGTTCCTCAGTCGCAATATACGACGCATCAGCGGCTTGACCTATTCGTTCAATGGCTGGTCCTAGGGACGGGGCTTGCTCTGAAAGGGCAAAGGCGTTGTATCTTGATCCCAGTTCGCAAAGATCTGCCGCTAAAGATGATAGATGACTGAGAGTTCGGCGATTGACCTTCTCCATAGGGCCTGTCAAAAGCTGTTCCAACTCCTTGATCGACGCCTCATAAGAGATGAAATATGGGTCAAGCTCTTGCTCGCTGAGATTGGATGCATCTGCTGGGAAGCGTTCGATCGCATGTGCTGCGCCCTGGATGACAGAAGCACTCAGGTCGGCGCCCGTACCTGCTGAAGTCTTGAGCTTCGATGAGCTCGAAGGAACCGGAAGGAAGCTGTGAGCAAGTGAGGGGTTCGCGGTATCCAACGGCGGTGCTTTCAGGATGACCTTGGGAATAGAAGCCACCGGGTGAGCGTGCAAGACTTCGCTCTAGAAGTATGTTAGCAAAGGTCAAAATAAATAAGTACACATCGAAAAAAGAAAAGGAAATCCCATTACCCAGCTTGAGTTTGGATCAAGAAACCTCCACCAAACCCCGTCTTCTCTTACGGCGTCCATTCGACGGCAGCGATTCAAAAAGACCATTAACATGCGCTTTCGTAAGTCGATGATTTGCTGGTCTTGTTTCGCGCTTGTGGGATTCGCAGCGTAGTCGGCCATAGTATGCTTTTCCGGAATGGGAGGGATAACAAGAGTCGGGTGAAGACGGGTCAACGCATCTCTGAGCGAGGCAAACTCAGAGTAACGACGACGGACCTCTAAATCCTAATTCTGGAAGTCAGAAGACTAGAATGAAGTAGAACCAACCGAGTGCGACTCACTCCTGTTTTAATGGTGTACACGATAAATCTCCCTCCGCTTTCTACGCTTTTACCCGCATCCGTGATCATAATTGGCATGTTCGGATTCTCATAAAGGATCTGCTCGATACGGCTGTTGTATCCGCCTGGCCTCCGTCGCGGAGGGGTGTCCTCCCCCAGGACATCATCATCGTCAACTTGGCCAATGCCATGGCTGAATGGCGGACGTGGTGACTGGCCAACGTCGCTCCCAGTTGAAGGGGTATGAGAAGCCTCAAAAACGCCATCTACAGTGTCCGACTGCCGTTAGTTTTGCCATGGTTCTCATCGGGATATGCCAGCGACCCATTTTGGAGCAATAGACCCAGAGGCGCTCAGGGGGACGAGGAGCAATGGACTTACAGTCTCTTGATGTCGGCGAGCTCGGAATTGCAGACGACGAGGTCTGTGAATCCCGGCGATCGAAGCTGGTGCCGTAAGGGTTGTTGTCTTCGTCGTTCCACATGATGACAGCTCTTTTGTACGGTTCTACCTATATGCGAATAGGGCGCTGGAGGCGAAGCGCGGTGGTGGTCGTGGCCTTGGTTTCTCGAGATGGCCTGAATGTGCTCTAGCTGTACCGGGACGACGATGAGCTCTGAGGCAACTACGGCGGGGCGGAGTCGTTTAAGCGGCTGGGACGTGGGGTCAAGATCAGGGTATGCAGGTCGCTGTGAGCGCTGTCGCCATTATCCAGCAAACGCAAGGACGAGATGCTGCGGCCAGGCGAGAGAAATTCAAGACTGTAAACGACGATGGTAGGCAGAAGCGGAGAGCGAGTTGGCGGCTTGCGAAGCTTCGGGCGTTTCTGGCGCAGGGCGAAACAAGAACCTGCTAACGGGCTGATGACGATACAGCGCGCGCACGGACCACCTGCATTTACGTTGCATGTACCTTGCCCTGCAAAAAACGCTGCAAAAAACCTGTGCCAGGCATGGCTGTGGGCACAGGTTCGCCGCGGGTACATGTACTTTGACGTGCAAAAATGGAGTGATTCTACTTTCGCCAACGCCTCTATGCCTTTTAAGTGCCGGTGGTTACCATCTGATCAATGATGCTCGTACTCTCTTTAGGCTGCGCCTGTACATCATCTTGCAGGCTTGAAATCGGTCCGCGTTCGTTCCTCAACTGCCGCCACTAAGTTGATTAAGTGTTTGCATTTTCTCTTTTGTGTCTTTATAAATCATCATTTGACTACTAGCACCTACAAGCCCATAATTCCCTTGATGTAATACACTGGACCAAGTTATCCTTTTCTATACATCCCATTATACATATCCGAGATTCAGCGTCCATAGTGACGCTGAAGAAACTGTTGCGGTTGCAAACCTCCCCGTCATTGGCAGCCCTATTGGCCGTATGGATCTGTTACTGCGTAAATAAGGCGATGGCGTTTCGCCCATCTCGCCATGTACATGTAACCGGCATCACAAACGCTCACCGGCGCCGAGGATTCACTTCAAAATCGTCGCTGTGGACCGTGGCAGCATCGCTCCGAATTGACTCCTTCGAGTCGTTAGAAGCGTCAAGATTGCATAGCATGGACGAAGCATCATCCTGCTCTGTGGCTGTTGTTTCGAAAATGCCTTCATCTACATGATTGTCGAATTGCGGCATGGTGTTTTCGAGGCGCCTATCTGTAGTTGAATGTTCGATCCTGATGATTGCTCTCTGTTCAGGTTCTGGAGAAGGAGAGGGAGAACTCGCAATGGTAGATGCCGCTCCAGCAGGGAGGTTGAAAGCCCTATAGAAGCGTTGCCACCATGTAGGATGACTCGATGAACATTCGTCCGGAGTTCGGCTTGGCTCTGTGCGAGAATCTTTTGTTTTTGGCAGCTCGGGAGCTGTTACACCAGGATATGTAGGGTATTGTGTTCCCTGTGGCAAACTTGTTGGAGCCATCGTGTGGATTTGAGCATTGTGAGCACCTATGACGCCAAATGGCTGCGCTGGTAACACCTGGGGCGCTGGCAAGTAATAACCAGGAAAGTTTGGAGGCATTCCGTTCCCGAAGACGAAGTTTTGTGGCACTGAATACGGTGTTGGCTTTGCTGTGCCCTTCCGGGTGAATTGGTAACGCCGTTCTCTCTGCACTCTAGACGCATGATTCGTTTTGGTTTTGATCCGGAAGATTCTCGCTCGACCCGCACAGTACATCCAAACAATCGACAGGATGATAACTGCAACAACAATGGAGAATATGATGCCAAATCGTGTTGCTGAGTTGAGACAGTGCCACCCGAGGCAAGTGTCGGATCGGGGAAGACGGAGGGTTTCTTTTGTGGCCTCGAAACTTGACATGGCGATAGCCAAACCTGGCGAACAGAAGCGAGGCGATTAAAGATGGATTTGATAATGTTTAGTCGTATCGTGGAATATCGCATAATGCAGCAAATATCATCCTGATATTGGGTCATCCACCAGGAAGCTGAGCACGAGTGTTGGAATGAACAATCAGATACTCCTGTTGACGTAAGAAGAGAAGAATCTGTTCAACAAGATAGATGCCGATGGACTGACGAGCGCCTCCATCTGCCTGGCAGCTGGCAGAGCGCATAGGACACTCCCTTGGAATAAGCTCCAGTGACTCAATGCACAACTCACATGGACACTATTTCCTAAACATATCCTTGAGTATTCATATTCACAAAGTAAATGAAAATAGATAGAGAGAGTAAGTTTATGTAAACATAGTATTTGCAAGCTACTACTATTATATATGTTTATTATACTAGAAAGGGAACTCCCGCCTATGTACCTAGGTACCTAGATAAAAGGGGCATGTATGTTCACCACATCTTTAACAAAGCCTCGAGAGACATACAAAGCTTCATATATATCTTTATAGAGGATGATCTTATTTTTAGTAATCATAATGTATCTACTATCACTATATCAATTTTTGTATGAGATTGGAGCATATGCTGGGCAGAGAGCAGCCTTGGTCTGGCTCAGGAGCATCAAAACTATTCTGCGTTGCCACCTCAGAGAAAGAAGTTTGAGAGGATAAACTGCAATAACTTTATAAAAAAATTCATTTTCCAAGAATCCTTGATTCAAATTAGCTTGGCATTGCTGTTCTCTCAGATTCAAGTGAGGCTCCTTAGATCCGCAGCCGCTAAGGCAGCGTCGCGGAGCGCACGGGCCACCTGCACTTCGCTGAGCTACCATCATGGAATTTCTGGCTCGCCTCCGATTGTTCCCAAGACTTGCGATATCAACCCTCTCGGCAGCCAATTCTCAGCTCACGGCAACAATTTCATCCGCGTTTGGCTGGCGGCATTTGCCATGATCTAGGAAAATACCGATGAACACCATTGGCTGTCACCTTCGAGGCGCTACATTGGCTTGACGCGTTCCTGCGATTTCGCCCGACTTTACGCACCCCCCGATTTCCTCACAGACATTGAGCCAGATCCTCAGGCATGGCGGCCCTCCAGAACGGCGCCGCGAACGGTGCGGCAAATGGAGATGTTTCAAAAGCCCCTAAGAGTGCCCGATTCTCCGACATCCCCTCTGCCATCGACATCCCCGTCCAGGGCGACCAAGAAGACGAAGCGGTCGAAATCGATCTCGAAGTCCTTGTTGATGATCCGACGGAACTGTGTACCCTGTTCGAAAACGAGCATGCGGCCAAAACTTATTGGATGACGGTCGCGCTGGCGTATGCGAAGCAGCGGAAAATCGACCACGCCATCGAAATGTTGATCCGAGGCGGCAACGCCATACAGAGCGGCGGCAACCCACGCGATAAGGTCAGCATGATATGCTGCCTCTGTTGGATGTATCTATGGAAGAGTCGAGAGGCCCCTCGTGTTGCGCCTGAAGATGCCAATGCGTCGGAAACCAAAACGAAAGAGCACTATCTGCAGCTTGCAACATCATCCCTCAACGACGCCGCACGTCTTAACCCGTCCTTCTCGCCCATCTTTCTCGCACGTGGAGTTTTGCTACTGCTCAGGGCCTCACTACAAGGACCATCGAAGACTGCGGGAAGCCTAGGGACAGAAAAGGGGGAGCTCCTGAAGAACGCCGCCAAGGCCTTCGATGATGCACTCCGAGTCTCTCAAGGCAAAAACGTGCTGGCTTTGATGGGGAAAGCTCGCACTCTGTTCTCCATGCACAAGTATCCCGAGGCTCTGGCTGCATATCAAGATGTGCTGCAAAAAAGACCCGATCTAGTCGACCCCGACCCTCGCATTGGAATAGGCTGCTGCTTCTGGCAACTTGGATTCAAAGACGATGCCAAGGTAGCGTGGGAGAGATGTTTGGAAATCAACCCCGATTCCAAAGTTCCCAAGAGTCTTCTCGGCCTGTACTATCTTGATGCTAGCGGTCATGTTCCGGTTAACAGCCCAGAATTTCCCCAGCTTTACAAGCGGGCCATGATCGACTACATTCAGGATTCATTTAAACTTGATAAAGACGTTCCCATCACCTGCTCCACCTTTGCGAGCTACTTCTTGTCTCGAAAAATGTGGGATAAGGCAGATAAGCTGGCTCACAAGGCCATTCAATATACCGATGTCAACGCCGTTGCGAGTGACGGATGGTATTTGCTGGCGAGAAAAGCTCACTACAACGGCGATTTAGAGCGTGCCAGTGATTACTATCGTCGCGCTGACGACGCTCGTGGAGGTACTGAGACCGGCTATCTTCCTGCCAAGTTTGGCGTTGCGCAGCTATCTGTCCTGAAGAACGATCTTGGAGAGGCGAAGCTGAGGCTAGAGAAGATTATCCAGCAATCCAAGAACCACGAGGCCATGATTCTTTTGGGAATCATTTATGCTGAAGAAATCTTTGCCAACCAGAGCAGTGATATCAAGGAGGATAGATCTGCAGAAATGAAAAAGGCAGTTGCTCTACTGGAGGGCGTCAGAAATTCTTGGAAAGATCCTAAGAAGGCCCTGTCTCCGGACCCTTCTGTCCTCCTAAACCTGGCCCGGCTATATGAAACAGACAGCCCTGACAAGGCACTTCAGTGTTTACAACAAGTTGAGCAGCTCGAGATCGAACAGATTCCAGAGTCGGAGCACCCAACAGACGTTCCCGCTTCCGAACTTCAGGCAGCTCTTCGCAAGTTCCTCTCGCCTCAGCTTCTGAACAACATTGGCTGCTTCCATTCCCAGGCGGAGAAACATGATCTTGCCAGTGAGCTGTTTGAAGCTGCGCTAAGTGCTTGCATGAGAGCTGGCGAGAAGGATCCTACGATGGACACTGACGCCTTGGTGACGACTATTAGCTTCAACCTTGGCCGAAGCTATGAGGCTCGGGGCCTGACAGACAAGGCGGTGGAAGTGTATGAGGGCCTCCTTAACCGCCACGACGATTATACCGACGCCCGCACACGGCTTGCATACATCAAGCTAAGAAAAAATCCCAACAAGGAAGGTCCTGATGCTGTGGCAAAGCTCTACCAGGAGAATACCGCCGACTTGGAGGTTCGAGCACTCTATGGATGGTATCTTGGAAAAGTCCACTCCAGAAAGCGCCCGGCAAACATTCAAGAAGACCACGAGTTCCGTCACTACAAGCACACTCTACAAAACTACGATAAGCATGACAGGTATGCCCTGGTCGGAATGGGCAATCTGTACCTCCTGCAGGCAAGAGAAATGCGTCGTGAAACAGAACCAGAGAAGCAGAAGAGAAGCGCAATCTACTGCAAGGCTGTTGAATTCTTTGAGAAAGCTTTATCACTGGACCCGAAGAACGCCTATGCTGCTCAGGGCATCGCCATTGCTCTGGTGGAAGACAGGAAAGATTTGAAGACGGCTCTCACTATTTTCAACAAAGTTCGAGATACAGTCAAAGATTCTCATCTGTATGTGAACTTGGGCCACATTTTTGCTGAACTGAAGCAGTTCACCAAGGCCATCGAACACTATGAGATAGCTCTATCGAAAGACGGCAAATCGAATGATCCAGTCATTCTCTCTTGCCTTGGCCGGACGTGGTTAAACAGAGGCAGGGCAGATCGAGATGTAGATTCATACAACAAAGCCCTCGAGTGTGCTAAAAAGGTAAGCATGCATATGGTTGACATACCAGATATAGTTTTTAACTTACTAACCGTGACTCGCAGGCGCTTGAGGTGGCTCCGGACCAAATACACTACAAGTTCAACGTTGCCTTTGTTCAAATTCAGCTTGTGACCACGATCCAAACTCTGCCGGAAAGCAGACGGACAGCTGAGCAGCTGGAAGAGGCGTCAGAGGGTCTCGAAGCCGCGATTGAGTCGCTGGATATGATTGCTGCCCATCCCCAAACACCTTATCCCAAGCATGACGTTGAGCAGCGTGCTAATATGGCTCGCAATACACTTCGCAAACAACTTGAGAGAGCTCTAGGAAAGCAGAAGGAGTGGGAGGAGAAGAATATGGAAAAGATTGTGGCTGCTAAAGAACAACGAGAAGCTGAGATTAAGAAGCGCGAAGAAGAGCGACAGGCCGTTCTGGACAAAGAGCGGGAGCGACAGGAGAAGATTCGGAAAGAACGTGAGGCCATCGCCGCCCGCGATAGGCTACATGCAGAGCAACGAGCTGAAGAGGAGCGCGTGCGTCACGAGGCAGAGATGACTACTGATGAAGAGACGGGAGAAAAGGTCAAAAGAAAGCGCAAGCCAGCGCCACGCGGGGCCGCCGGCGAGGGCAAGCCCAAGAGGTCGTCAAAGAAGAAGAAGGCCGACGCGGATGATGACGAGGGCTCTGAAGAAGAGAACCACACCAAAAAGAGAAGACGCCTCACCAAGAGGGAGTCTTCCAAGTTCAAGTCTGCCGAGATTGTTGTCGACTCTGATGAAGAAGAAGCCAACGACGACGACTACGACGTTTTGGACCGTGCGGACAGAAACCTGGAGAGAGAGGAGACACCTCTCTCCGACGCCGACGAAGACGCTGGCCGGATGGACGTGGATGAAAAGGATGGCCGCGATGAAAGAAACGACGACGATGACGAGGACGAAGACATTGGTGCTTCTCGTTCCCAAGCCAAGAGAACGCGTAGAGGCCGAGCAATCGCAGAAAGTGACGAAGAGGACGAAGATGCGGAGCCTAGCGGTGCTGCAGCGGCAGATGAGGACGACGAATAATAATTGCTAGTATCTCTTATTTTCCCATGCATATTTGTATTCTGTTTAACGGAAAGGATTTCATTAGTAGTCCAGAGCTTGCACAATGTATATTAGCTTCCTCTTCATAAAAAAAAAGGAAACGCCGAAAGAGAGAAAAAAAAAGGGGAAAATAGCGAATTTGTTTTAGATGGAGATGCATTTTTTAAGAGACATTAGCATAATTGACATTATAGATTATTCTATCCAAGTATCCTATATCCGATGTTTTGTTTTTTCTACCCACATTGGCCAATCCGTGATATTGCTCTTTTCTTTTTATTAAAGAGAGGGGATATCACTCTCAAGTCAATGAACCCATTACAACTTTTTAGAGCAAAGCAGTCTATAAAGCCACTCTCCTATTTTGATTTAAAAGAAGAAGAAAAAAGTGTTGTCACACCGCTTCAGGGCAAAAACCAAAAAAAAAAATGCATTTGCTGCCAACTGATATACCGGCGCCGCACATGGACATATTCCTTTTTCTTTTGTTTTAGAAAGCGAAAACCTGGTCCTCGAGCTTGCTGACGGGACGAGCCTTGGAGAAACCGAGACCCTCGGTAGCCTTCTTCAGGCCGTTAATCATAGGAGGGGGACCACAGAGGAGGATCTTGACATCGCTGGCGGGCTTGGGGAGGTATTGCTAGTGCACAAGTCAGTATCAGCTGAAATAATGTTAAACGAGGAAGAAGACGTACGGTAATCATATCGGCAGTGACAAAGCCAACGCCACCGGTCCAGCCTTCCGGAGGCTTGTCCAGCACGTAGTGAACGCGGAAGCCGCTGTCCTCCTGGGCCAGGGTGTCGAGGTCCTCCTTGAGAAGAATATCCTGTGCAGTGACGTTGGCAAAGATCAGATCCACCTCGGTCTTGTCGCCGGTAGCACGTCCGCGAATAATGGCGCGAATGACCTGGAGCATGGGAGTGATGCCAGTGCCTCCAGCAATCATACCAAAGTGGCGGACCATGTTGGGGGTATAGACGAAAGCGCCCTTGGGGCCGCGAATGCGAATTGTCTGGCCGACTATGAGAGAGGCCATGTGTTTGGAGATGTTGCCCTGAGGATAAGACTTGATCAAGAGGTCGATGAATCCAGGCTGGTGGTCGCCGGAAATAGGGGTATACGATCGAACGATTTCCTTGACGGTTCCATCAGGCTGAGGAAGGTGGGCGCCGATGGAGATGTGCTGGCCGATGGGAAGACCAAGGATGTGCTGTTGCGAGGGGAGCTTGAATCGGTAGCTAGAGGTTTCTGTTGTTAGATCTGGCGCAACTTTGCAGTTTGAGGAGTGGAAAAATTGGTTGTGCACTGACATGGCCACATTGTGAGAAATGACAGTCTTCTCCTGAAGAGGGAACTCCTGGAAGACGTCCGGCTTCAGCACCTTCTTGATCTCTATAGAAAGGGGCAATTAGTATCGATACAGCGTACAAAGCGCAGAGGCCACTCACGGAAGCTGAAGTAGTTCCAAGTGCCGAGCACAACGGCCAGCAGAGCAGCATACGGCGTCCAGTCAATCTTGACAATCATGGTGCCGACGACGAGAAGACCGGCCGGGATGTAGATGTAGTCTCTGAACCGACGCTCAAACGCGTCCTGATCAATCTTTGCGGCCATGGCGACGATGTCGAGAAGAGCAGCGAGATCTTTGCTTCCAGAGCAAGTAGCGACGCAGGTTCTCGTTTCTGTTCCGATATTTATCGAACCTTACTTGGAGGTGGGACAAAGCGGGACAAGTTAGCCACAGAGGGGCGAGCCGCAAGCGCGGGCTTCGCGGGCTCGAAAGGCTAGTTTGGTCGGCAATTGAAGACGGCCTACAGCAGCGAGTGCCTTGACAGGAGACGCGACGATGAGGCTGGCGCCGAATTGGAGAAAAGAAATGCTCCGACGCTTCTCGCGAGTTTTGTCGCCGTCTTCCCTGGACGCTGAAAAGACCACGCTGGATTAGGAAATTTTGGCGGTGACGATTGCAGGGCGAGGGTTCTGCCGTTGAGCTGGGTCCACCCTCAACGAAAAAGATGGCCAGGCAGTGGCTAGCAAGGCACCGGTAGAACGAATGATCCGGATCGCTCATTCGCGCAGCCATCGTTATCGTCTCCCGTACTCATGGCGCATGGCGCTGGACTTGTAGAAGCTCCATACCCAAGCTGGTTTAACAGACCTTCTGCCGGCAGCGCGATCGCGGATGGTGCTTCTGGATGGATGAGGAGATGCGGATGACGAGCTGCGACGGCAGAAGGGACGCTGATGCATACGTCATGCCACCACCAGGCACAGCGTGACGGATCATTTGGGCGCTTACAGAAAAAACCACACAGGCGATATCCGTCGCTGTGCTCTGCACTAAGGCTCGTATATTGCTGCTGCATAAGTTGTGTTGCGATACGAAGTGCAGGCTCTCCCTAATCAGGGAGGTTATGCGCCGCGACGAGGCACCCATTCGGCAGCTGACGTCCGGCCATACGAGATGCACGGCGCAACAGACAGCACCGACATGGAATTGAATACTACAGTGCTGTGCTAGAGAGATCCCGTAATCGTATTCGACGGCCCTAATGACCAAGACCGCCTGCCATCCTCCGACCCGTGCGCCGCTCCCAGCTGGAGATGTGCTCAACGACTTCCAGATGGTTGAAATCTGCGGCTGGAGTTGCAGATTGCCCACGGAGCCAGCCAGGAGCATGGACGATTGACACTTGACTAGATTAACCACATGTCGCTGGCCTGGTGCTGGGCGCTAGGAAAATCAGAAATTGGAGGGACAGCGGTGATCACTGCGTGGATAGGCAAACGTTGAAGCCCCTGGCCCGGCTTGCCACCCCCCTGGTCGACGAGGCGCTACGGCTCCGCCGTGGATGCACACAGGATGCACACAATGCGCATGCTGCTGTCTGCAATGAGATGCTGTAGGTGTAACAGTGATGAAAGAGCTCCAGGAGAGATAGACAGCTCATGCATGAGTGTAGGCTAGATCGGGCACTGATCAGAGGTGGGAGGGCGATCAATAGAGAATCGCTGCAAGTATGTCATCAGAGGCGAAAAGAAGGAACAAGATCCAAGAGAGAGACTGAGATGGAGATGCCCTCTCCGGACAAACAGGACGTGCCACGGCATGGACAACGGCGACTGCTGCTTCGAGCAAGGCCTCGAGTCGCAATGCAGCGAAACGTGATGCTAAAATGGCATGGCATGACGAAGCTCCCAGCGGAATACGGGGTCCTGCAGTTCTAGCCGCAGCGCGAATCTAAATCCGCACGCCGCGCCATCTCACGATTGGTCGGGGCGACAGGGGAGGCACCTCGAGTTGCCAACGACGAGCGCTGCCGTGGCCGGACTTGAATTGACTTTGCGCGCCGAGATCGAGATGTCCACCGCAATGACGCTGCGTGGTGAATCCCCAAAACATGCCTGCTGCGGATTGACGGATGCCCCGTCCAGCATCCCGGATGGCTCCAAATACGCGGTTTCAAGCGCAGAGGGGCCTTTTTGTTCCATTTTGCTGGCCCCGTGAGGCGGGTGCTTGGCTGTCCTTTTCGAATTGGGGCTCGTCTCGTCTCGTCCCGTCTCGTCTTATCCTGAACGCCGTGCCCAAACCCGCCAGTGAATGCGAGGAGCTCGACGACATATCACACGTTCCGTCTCCCTGTGCGGCACACCTTCGTATTCTCTCCTCCCTCTTCTCTATTTTTTTTTTCTTTGGCTATTTTCCTGTTCTAGCTTTTGTGCGGCCCTCCTGCCTTTGTTTAACTGGTTATTATCCTTCTCCATACCGCTTTTTTCTTCCTTCTCTTCTCTTTTCCTCCTTAAACAGCGGGCCAGACCGCTGGACGGGACAGTGGCCACGCCAGTAAGCAGAGCGATTCGCTTCGCCATCTGCTCGCACCGGGCCGGACGCGGCGAACGACGACGATCGAATTATTCGGCTTCTGACAACTTGCTCCTCTGCAACCGCATATAAAACTGCTTGCCGATTATTCGTCTGCGATTTTCCCATTGCGCGCGTGACGTGGCGAGCTGCCGGATTTGAGCTGGCAGGTGAAGCGCTGCGAAAAAAAAAAATAACCGCTTGCGGATTTCGCTGCGCATGTTGATCTCACCTACCCAGATGCTCCTGTAACTAAACGGCCTATCAACTCCGAGTATCCGCCTGCATCAGCTGCTTTTGGCGCGCAACGCCCTCGACCCTCGTCGCATCTACTCGACGACAACTCGAAAATAGTCGTCAAAGCCCAGTGCCTCTTCCTTTGAGAAAACCACCTCCGACGACATCTCCCCCCTGTGCCCCAGGCAGGCTTTCCCTCCGCCACAGCCCAGCGATATTACGACTCGCGTCTCCATAGCGCATTCCCACCGCTTTGTTCGTGCCTTGTTCCTTTGAAGAGGTGAAGTGCATCCCGCGCTGTCCTCTGAAAGACACTGAGCGCTGCTTTGTGACCCAAGCCCGCTTTGAATTTGGCCCATTCACCAAAGAAAGAGTCTTTCACGGCTTTCATCTGCTTCAACGCGTTTCTGGAGTGACAAAAGAATCCAAAAAGGGCCCATGTCATTTGTCTTACCGGTTCACCCATTCGTTTTGCCAGCTACAACCCCAAGCGGGCTGAGACATTTGTCCACTGTTGGACAGTTACAGCACACCATTGTCTAGGCCATCGAATCCGCCAAGGCCCACGGCACAGTATTCCAGATCTTCATAAATATCAGCGTCTGATCCCATCTGCCCCATTGTTTCCTCCGTGGTCGGCATGGTTGGCTGAGACCTCGTGATAATCAGCTCATTAGCTTTCTGTTGAGGACCTCAGCTCAGTCCCGTCGGCATCATGAAATCTACAAAAAGTACTGCTGAGAAGTGGAAATGGAGGTCGTCCACTGCCAGCACGGCGGGATCTCTATCTCCATACCAATATGCCACTGAATCTTCGGAGCCCATCGTTGAAAGCAAAAAATCTCGTTCGCTGTCTAAGGCCTTTCGCTCGATGAGTAGCTCCTCCCTGGATTCGATGTCTAGTGGTCCGTCTAGGTCTGGATCTTCGGCACGAAAGCTGCACAAGACGCCGTCGGGCTCAGGATCGATGATTGAAAGATTTCAGAGGAGGGTTTCCAGAGATTCTTCGATTAGCACGGCGCCTTCGGAAATTCCTGGTGGTCCCTTGGAACCCAGCTATACGGCGATGGAAATGCTTCGATATGGGTGGCTCAAGACAGATTCTTCTCTACTCAAAGCTCGCTCTGAATATCTTGTCTTAACAGATCATTCGTTGGTGAAATTTGGAAGTGCGGAAGCTGCTAGGAGTGTCTTCCCGCAGTTAACTCAGACTGGAAGCCAGGGGAAAGGCGCCCAGTCCCATTATCTGCATTCTTTAACCAGCAAGTCTGCATTTGCGGAGATTCGATACGATATTCCCCTTCGTTCCATCATTGCAGTCTACATTGAAGAGACCTCGAGCTTTCGATGTGGTATCGAGGTGTGGTGGTCCTCGAGATCACCCAAGATTGCGTCTTGCAAGGCGCATTTCCACTTTGCTCTTCCAAAGGAAAGAGACGACTGGCTGGCGGATATTCAGCAGGCATACAAGGCCAGGATGAGAAAAAACCCGATCCATGTGACTGTTCCAGAGAATGTCAGGATTCGTATCAATCATGTTATGCAGCCCGCAGAGTTACCCGACGATGGCGCCCCCCAGAGCTTGATCTTTCCAGTGGCCAAGCGTTTTGCACCAGCAGCCCAGAAAGGGGCAGCCGCGGATGAATCTCAAGACATCATAGACGCTGCGACCTACTATCTTGCAATTGGCCCCTACGTGTGTTATCTTATTGAGATTCTCAAGGCGGATTATTCGACTCTGCCGGGCGACTTGCTCATGAAAACTACAGATTGGGGGACGGTCTCTTTGACTCGTTTCCAAGCATCAGTGGCATCTCATGAGCAAAGATTCTTGATGAGTTTTCGGTAAGTGACCATGCCACAACTTCAGTTCATCCCTTTTGACTTGATTTGTCTAACGAAACATTCACAGCAAACCATTCGAACGCGAATCTCGCCTCGAACTAGCCAGCACGTATTATCGCCGGATCATCGAAGCTTTGACAAAGATTGATCGTGTTTTGAAACCCATGTGGCCCCAGAATCTCCAGCACGCTATTTTCGATATCAAGGGTCTCCCATCACCTCTCCAGCTAACATCAGGCAACGATTTGGGCGGCCTTGAGATGAGCCTCCAGGCATATTGCGTTGCGTTTAATGTGCAAATCCCCGCCTGGACAATTGAATGGCTGACCCCGTCAGAGCCGACCTTCCGACTGCTGGCCTCTGACGAGTGGGAATACACGCCCCTTCAATTACTTGCGGTTTTTCGGGCCCTGAGATACAATAGCTTCTTCAAGGCCCTCTCTTTTCGCGATGTGTCACTTACATCGCTTGCTAACAAAAGTGACTATTCACAATATGGAGATACTGTGGTATACACCTCTTTGAGCGGTATTTACAAATTCCTAGCCTTAATCAATCGCGGCAAATTTACTGATGGCCCACTATCTAGGCGTAAAATTACCAGAGGAACACTACCAACTTCTCTCTCAAGCCACAGTATTCGAACAAGAGATTCATGCCTTGTTGTTTTCATCTGAATCCATACGACACATTGATCTCACAAATACTACCGGCTTACAACGCCCGATGAGACCACAGACAGGCAGGGGATCGGTCGACCACACTACCATGCGCAAAATGAGCTCCGAGATCATTCGACCGTTGTCGATGCTGCTTAAAGCACAGTTGAGCCACTGTCACAGTATTTCCATGTCTGGCAATCCCATTGGCGCAGGCGACGTAGCTGAACTAGGTATGTAACTCCAAATGAGAAGGAGAAATGATTTCCAAATTCTTCTTTTGGCTGCGCAGCCGCTGATTCTTGTCTCAGCCAATACCTTTGCATTAGATGAGGTGCACCTTAAAAAAATCGATCTATCAAACTGTGGACTTGGGGATATTGATCTCAACAAACTTTGGTCTGGTCTTGCAGGCCAAGCCGAGAGTATCGAATATATCGA